GAATTGTTTGGATTTCTGAGTTGCTCAGTGTCCTTGCTGAAGCTCTGGAGGTCAGGGGACCAACTGGGAGGTTTTGATGTTAGTAGCAGGATGTACAAGGGCAGATCAGGCAGGGCTCAGCTGTCCCTTCTTCTCACCTTGCCAAAAGCTGCCCCGGTGATGACTGCGTGGGGACAACAGTGATGATCTCCTTGTTCTGCAGAAAGACTTGCAGCCGCATGAACCAGATGTGTAATCTTATTTCTCAGTTTCCACAGACTTGATTTTCTTTCAGTGTACTTGCCTGAAATGTTATTCAAGACTGCATTTACTCCTGGGTCTGCAAATAACCTGCGTGTCTCCTGGAAACACTTTTGTTCTAACCAAAACATGGATCTTATTTGATCTGGGCTCTGTATTTCAAATATTTAAACTCTAAATCATGTTGATTCATCACGACACAGATTGAACCTTTCTTCAAGTCCTTTTCACGTATACCATTTTCTTGTTGTTATGGGACTTTTTTTCTAATCTTAAATATAAAAATTTATTATACTTTGCCCTTTACAGTATCTTTTTGCCAGGTGTACACAGACCCTATCTCAAAAAAAGTCATCTTTTATATTTAACCTATGATTTCTGTTTGTGAGGGCTTTTTTCTACTGATTATCTCTAATATGTTAATTATCTCTCCCACTTAATTTGCCACTTAATAAAATGCACATGCATATTTGATAGATGTATCTTATCTAAGTTCACTGATAAAAAGGATCACCATGATGGGATCTAGAACAAATGGAAAAAGAAAAAAGACTTTCATGGGCCAATATCCCTGGTGAATATAGATGCAAAAATCCTCAACAAAGTGCTAGTAAGCTGAATACAACAGCATATTAAAGGGATCATACAGCACAACCACGTAAGATTTATCCCTGACATGCAAGTATTGTCCAATATATGCAAATCAATAAATGTGACAAAACAGGTGGACAGTGTCCACACTTCTAGGAGTTTCAGGATTCCTCCCCTGGTTAATAGCAATCCATTTTGTGGCACTATTTGGGCCCAGCTTTCCTGAGTTACCAATCTAGCAGTTACTTGTGTGTCTTTTTTATCTACAGCATTAAGATTCTTCTAGAGTTGAGGGTATAGTTCAGAGGTAGAGAACTTGCCTGGGATATGTGAGGCCCTGGGTTTGATCCCCAGCACCACAGAAGAGAGAGAGTGAAAGAGCTTGAGAGATTGAGAGACTCCTGTGAACTTCAGAGAAATTATGCCTCCAGCATCCTTTGATCTGTGGATATATATTTATATATGATATATGTTATATATCATATAAGTAAATATATGCCTTTAAATATGTATGCTTATCATTTAAAAGTCACTGAACTTCTATTTCTGGATCACTGTTGCCGAATGTTTTACATACAATGTCTTATTTGTTCTCTGTAAAAATTCTGTAATAAATAATTTAAAGAAGAGTAATGATGTTTTATGATACGACTTACACTTCACCTCCAGTGATCATTGCTTCCTTCTGCAGACCCTTGCCGCTCCTTATAGGCAATGTGCTGGAATTCTGCCTATGATACCACTTATTTAATAAATAAATGCTGAATACTCGTTATGTGCAAGCTAGCACTGCATTATAGCCTGTTAAAAATTCAAAGATGAGTAAGAGGGAGCCCCTTTCAGAAGAGCTTATGTGTAATTAAAAATATGAAAGAAACAGTTGCTTAGTGGGGGAAGGACGGAAAGCAGAAGAACTCCAAAGGAGGGTCCTGCTGAAACTAGCCCAGCCACCAAGCTCCGAGTGGAAGCCTAATGGAAGCCATCACGGTAATACAGTCCTCATGTGAATCTCTTCACAGGGATGGGAGATATTCACTGACTGACAGTTTAAATCCTCTCGCTGCCCCTGTTGGAGTGTCTTCTTGTGTTTGAGGTCAAGAAGGCAGGTTGCCAGAGGTACTAGGATTCAGAGTTAAGGCAGGGTTTTTGCTGTAAAGAACATTACAAGTTGACAGGAGACTGAATTTGAATAAGCCTTGTACACTACAAGGCAGTGAGGTGCAGTTGACACTGGAGTGGGAGACTTCTGGTCCCAGGAGTGCTGGGTAGGGTAGTGAACTCACTGCAGCCAGGAATCGCATGGAGATGGGGTAGAGGAGGTGGTAGAGTCTGCACTTACACCTGCACAGCCTTGCCTGGATCTTATTCTGAGGGGTACTTCTTTCCTAGGCCTGAGGCATTTTCTTCATTAGATCATGAGAAAACAGTCCAAGTCCACTTTCTTCTTATCCCCCCGTGTCTGCCCCTGCCTCCCAGTTTGTACCCCAACACACCCTAAAGCTCAGTCATGACAAGTTAGGATCTTGGTTGAGCCTAGAGTTCTAAGCCAAGTGAGGCTGAAAAGCCCAGTTGGGAAGGGTAAAATGGTTCAGTTTGGGGATCCGGGATATTGCCTCTGTGGTCCAGTCCTTCCTGGCTCCAAGCCAGTGTTTCATGTGGCCTGCTGTTAAGATGCTTGGACTTGATAAGGGACAGTGGTCAGGAGCCTGTGGATTTGAGAACTTTCAGGAAATCAGCTCATGCATGAACATGATAACAAATACTCCATGAGTAACTGTACGAAGCCACTGAGCACCTTTTGCCCTGGGAATCTGAACCCTGAATTTCATATTGAGGTTTTCGAGTTGGAAAGAGGCAAATGGGGGCTAGAAGGCTGGAAGACTGAAGGAGTGTGGGTTCATCCCCCACAAAGATATACATACCTGCTCCACCAAAGTATGGGGGACCTAGGGTAACTAGAGCCTGAGTTCCACATGGAGATGGTTCAGGGCCTTTGGGTGGGGTGAAGTGGGTTGGTTGGGTGAGTGGCAGGAGGATTAGGGCAGGAACAAGGACCTGGGAGAATTTCTTATCATAAAACATGAAGTCTTGAGCACAGGGTTGGGTATTTCTTTGTTAGGAAGTCTGTGTAAGCAAAGTGTGGAGCAAGTGGTACTCATATTCCTAAGTGTGTACAACAGGCACAGCTCCCAGGCAGAGGAAGGCTGGAATTGCCATCTGGCAGGAGTCATTTATTTTGTTGACCCGAAGGCACTAGTAGAGCCCATGTAGAGACTGCTTGATTTGCTATAGACAGACGGCGTTCCAGGTTAGATATTGCCAATTTTTCTGGTCTCTCCAGGCCACTTTGTCTGAGACTGTTGGCTGGGGAGAGTCCCAGCACAGCCTCTGTCCTCTTCCAGGCAAATCTCATGCCATGTCCTCATTCTGTGTTAAGCACTTCACTTCTTTTTCCAGCCTGAGTCTCACATCTTTTCCTGCAGGAAAGGTTGCCATTTGTTGGTGATGGTCTTCTATCTGATCCCAGGCCAGTGACTCCAGAGCCTTAGTCCAGGGGCTCTGCCAAAAGCGTTGGATATAAATTTTGCACTCCCTAAAAGTGAGTAGTCTTTCTGATGCTTGGACTTACTCAGAAAATAGTAGGATAGGTGACTGCAGTGGCAGGTCAAAGCTAGAAGGACCCTTGGTGAATAGCCCGCCCAGTCCTCTAATTCTGTGGATGGAAAAGCAGAGGCCCTCAGGGAGACAGGGACCACTTGAAGATCTTATCGCCCAAAAAAGCTGGAAGCTAGGACTAGGCTCCAATCTGTGGGTTCTCTCTTAATGGATTTTTCTCTCTGTACCACATTGCCAGTTACAGGTAGAAAAGAAAAAGTGTAAAGCCCTTCAGGGCTTTTCTGTAAATGGTATCCAGGGGTCAGTGTGGGATAATTGGTGCAGGGAGCAGGGGAGGGAAGCTGGCTGTCTTCAGCGGGCTGGACTCTGAATTGGTGGGTATTAGGATCTAAACTCTGTAGAGGCACTTCAAGTCAGACCACTTAGATCTCTTTTGATGCAACTAGCAATATGAAAACTGCAGTTACTTAGATACTAAAGTAAGGAGTGTCTTTGAAAGATTTACTTCGCTCTTATTTTCTTTCTTTCTTTCTTTCTCTCTCTCTCTCTTTCTCTCTCTCTTTCTTTCTTTCTTTCTTTCTTTCTTTCTTTCTTTCTTTCCTTCTTCCTCTGTACTGGGAATCGAACTCAGTGCCTCACACTTGTCAGGCAGGTGCTGTGCCACTGAGCTACATCCTTGGCCCTTGTTCCTATGTTTTCATGTTCAGAATTTCAATTATCTTAAAAAAGCCCAGAAAATACCATTGTCTCATCTGTTGATTTAATCTAGACTTACGTTACCTTACACACATGCACGCACACATACACATTCTGTCTACAGTGTAAGCCCATCCACTAACATCCCTTGTCCCATGGAAATAACAGCTGTTTGCTTGTTTGGGGAATCTTTTCAGTGATTTACTCATCCCGCAGACACTGACTGTCCAAAATGAGGAAAATACTAAGGTCTATGAACCTTAGAGGGGCTTGGGTTTGTAGCGGGACAGGTATGCAAGTAACAGTGAGAAAATGCTGTATACACCACAGTAGAGGTATCTTTGAGCTGCTGTGGGATAGTGGAAGAGAGAAACAGAACCTGCCCGGAAGTCGAGATGTATTTCACAGAGCATAAGAACTGACTGGGCCTTGGAGACAGTAAGGTTGTGTCAGCGGGGGAAGGAGAGGCACCAGATGAAGATAAGAGCGTGGGCCACAGAGGGAGGAAGAAAGACGTAGGCAGTTTTCAGAGCACTGCTGTGCGCTGTGGTTGGGCCTGTGACAAGGTGAGATGTGGGCAGGAGATGAAGGCTTAAAGGATTTAGAATTTGGAGGCTGTGCAGCTCCATTAGGTGAATTGGATTTAATATTCGCTCTTGCTGTTATTTAGGGCTTCATTATTTTTCTCCTATGCAGGAGTTTGCAACATTTTCTTTTTTACTAATAGAACCTTTTTTATCCCCCCCAACTCATTTTATATCTATCTCCAGATGATAAAACACGAGAGTATTTTTGTAAGCTCACTAACGTGCACAGGGTAGGTGAAAGACAGTATTTTGACCCTGAGTGGTGCTGACCACGGAGAAGCCTGCCGCTGTGGGAGCCGGGCCGTTCATGCTGCTGCTCCGTTTGGCCGTGACACAGTGGCAGTGCAGGGCCTGTGAGTAGGCACTCCAGTAATGGGAGAGGCTGTAAAACCCTGGAGTGCGTCCCCAGGAGAGTGACCTTACGAAGAAAGTTCTGGGAAACAAACCACAAGGAGAATTTACAGGAATTTCTGGTTGAGCCCACAGGCAGGGCATATGGAGAAAAGAGAAGTAATTATGGTTTTTAAGTCTATGAAAAGATACGAGTGACATGAAATAGCTGTTCTCATTTTCTCCGTCCTGTAGGACAGGAAGAAATGGGTTTCTGAGCTTTCATTCAGAAGATATTTATTGAGAACCTGCTGTGATCGGGGCTCTATACTAAGTGCGGGACTGTCGTGATTAGCAAAATAGTAAAGATTCCTGTTCCCAAGGAACTCTAGGGGAAGACTGACATTAAGCAAATAATTATATGAATGTGTAATTGAAATCATTGTGAGTACTTTGAAGGATAAATACAAGGAATCTCATCTAGACTGGAGAATCCCACATGGGCATTGAAATGAGAAAGTCAGGTTGAGGAAAGATGACCAAGAGTTATCCAAACAAAGACTTTGGGGTCAAGGAGTGTCCCAGGCAGGGGAAACCTGCAAAAAAATCTAGCACTTTTAGGGAACCAAAGGAAGTTCTGTGTGGCTTCTGCTGCTGGGGAAAAGGGCAGGAAGTGTGCTGCAAGGAGGCAAAAGAGGAGTCATGGCAGGCTCTGCAGGTCTGGTAAGAATTTAGACTTGACCCTAAGTGTAGTGGAAGGCACTGGAGTGTGTTAAGCAGGAAATGACATGATCCCATGTAAAAAGGTGATTCATACAGTTCTGTGAATGATGGATTTGTGAGAGAGTAACGTTATGAAATACATATTTTGTCTTCCTCCTGTTTCCTAGCGTGTAACTCCTAAAATCCTTGTAATCTCCAAAGTGATAACTGTCTTTTTTGTGTCCTGGTGAGTTGACTGATATTTGGGAGCTCCTGGATTTCCTCAGGATAAGGGCTGGTTGCCATGGGTTAGAACTTGTGAGTCCCACACTCCTTAACTTCTGGGGAAGGGAGAGGGGCTGAAGGTTAATTTGATCATCAGTGATCGGTGTTGTGAACACTCATGCCTATCGAAGCCATCCGTAAAATGCTAGAAGGGCTGGATTCAGAGAGCTTGGGAGCAGCCAGACATGTGGAGGTTCCTGCAGGTCGCACACCCAGGTGGGGCACGGAAGCTCCCCCCATCGCTTGCCCTGTCAGTCTCATTATCTGGGGATATGCATCCTTTCTAATCCCCTTTATAGTAAACCAGTGAACTTAAGTGTTTCCTTGTGTTTTTTGAACCACTCTAGCATATTAATTGAATCTGAAGTTGGGGTTGTGGAAAATCAAGGTGGTTGGTCAGAAGCGCAAATAAACAACCCAGGGCTTGCAGTTGGCATCTGAAGTGGGGTGTGGGGTGGGAGAGGCAGTGTTGGAAATTGAGCCTTTACCTCCTGGGTCTGATTATTTCTATTTAGACAGTAATTTCTAGGTAGACTGTATTAGAATTAAATTAGAGGACACCCAGTTGGTGTCCACTACAAAATTGACTACTTGCTTGGTACAGGGAGAGAAAACCTTATACAGGTGGCCACAGAAGTCTTCTGTGTTGATTGTTGAGTGAGAATAGAAAGGAAACTGAGTTTGGCTTTTCCTAGAGTGGAAGCTGGGACAACTAGGAGTGTTTTGCAGTTATTAAAGTGAGAAATACATAGCAGTGGAGTTCTGGGAAAATGGACAGACAGTACATATATTTTGAAAGTAGAATTATTTGGTGTTGGTGTATAGGTTGGATATGGGAAGAAAGAGGTAGGGAGATTGGAGGATGTCTTCTGGGTTTCTCCCTCAAGTAAACACGCTGCCCTCTTAAATAGTAGATGGAATAAGCCTGTAACATCCTTGTTTTAGAAAGGTCAAACAGAATCGATCTGAATCTAGCCTGGCAGGAGCAGCAGAAGGTGTCAACCATCCTCTGGCTCTGCCAGTGCAAGGAGCTCATACACAGTAGCATCACCCAAGCGAGGATTCTAGTTCTCCCCCTAATGAGGCCCTTTGTCCCTTCCCTCTAGGACAAGCCCTAAGGAATCTCTAACTCCAGCAAGCCACTAGGGGGAGCATGGTCTGTGTTCTGTGTCCGTTCTTGAAGACTTTTTCAGTTTCACCTATTTCAGTGACTGATTTGTACCAGCTTTAGTACCCATACAAGTAGCCCTGACCTCTGGCCCCTGTACTGTTTGAAAGAATGCCTGACATGTAGTAGGTGCTCAATAAATGTTAGTTGGTTTAACTATTAGAGTGTGAATTTTATCTTATCTTACCAATGGGAGAAATCACTTCTTGTTACTCAGCATGGATCCTGGGCAAGAGGAAATGTGGATTTTCTGGATCAGGAAAAGACCAGAGGGATGGTTGTTAGGTGTGGGAGGAGGGGGAAGTTTAGGGATTAATGGTGTTACACTGGCCCTCCCTTCTGGTCTTCCTTTGTAGATTTAAGATTCTAGAGCCTGTGAAAGATTCCTAAATTGCAGCTTGGTTAAGATTGGGTAATTATAGTGGGTGATTGAGTATATCCCTTTTGAAGCTTGAATTGCCTCATTAAAGCAATAGTGTAGCTGTTAGTTGTATATCTGCGAGTCTGTCATTTCTTACTGGATTTTGTGATACTTCTACCTTAGCTTATGGCATATGTTTACATTTTAAACTAAAATCAGTCAAAATCTTGTTTTGAGAATTTTGCAGTATACCAGAGGTTAATAAAAATCACAAGGATTCTGGAAGGAACTGTGGCATTAAAGATTGCATTAGGACCTCTTTAGCGGTGTTTTGGGGAGCACTGGAAAATGTACTCCTTGAGCTTCCATGTCTTTATCTAGGGGTTATGGGTCAACTGCTCCAGTGAATGTTTATTTGTTTGATTTTGGGGTTTTTTTTTTGTGAGGAGCTGCTGAGATGAGGGAGGTTCTTACTTCAGTTCCTGACTTAAGGATGGTGTTTTGACATACAGTATTTCCTCACCTGTGCTCTCTTCCCCTCCCCTCCCCTCTCCTTTCCTCCATTTTCCTCCTCTTTCTCCCTCTCCCCTCCCCTTTTCTTTCTTCCTTCCATCCTTGCATCCATCCATTCATCCTTCCTCCCTCCTTGGCCTCCCCCCTTCTTCCCTTCCTTCCTTCCTTCCTTCCTGGAGATTGAACCTAGAGAGTGCTGAGCTATATCCCCAGCCCTTTCTATTATGATTTTTTAAAATTTGAGGCAAGTTCTCACTAAGTTGCACAAAGTTCTAAGTTGCTCTAAAACTTGGAATCTTTCTTCCTCTGCCTCCTGAGTTAGCTAGGATTGCAGGCATGTGCTGCCATGCCCAGTTTAGAATCTCTTTTAATGCTCATCCCTGCCCTGTTGATTGCCCAGGTGATCCACTGTACAAGTAGAAACCAGGAGGTCAGTGTCATGCAGATGCCCAGTTAGTGGTGGAGTCAGGCACTGCCAAGGTCGTCTGTCCCCTGCTCCACCTAGTCTTCTTGCAACTACAGTGGTACTTTGGTTGATGAACTCAATTCTCTCCATGATTCTGGTCACAAACTGAACTAGACAAGAACAGAATAAAATTTCCCCATAAAGTCAACATTGAACCTAACCACTTGATTTGATTCTGCTCTTACCCAACTCGGTTTGTGACTAGAATCGTGGAGTCAAGTTTGTAAAACGCTCTACTTAATGTATGCTAGAGTTGAAAGGCTTGCCCTTTTTATTTACTTATTTTTGTTTTGTTTTTTGTTTTTCTTCCGGTACCAGGAATTGAACTCACGACTTTGTGCTTGCCAGGCAAGCGCTGTGCCGCTGAGCTAAATCCCTAGCCCTGGCTTCCCCTTTTTAGATGTTTTGTTGTTGTTGTTGTTCTATACCTAGGGCAAGTAATTTTAACCTTTGTTTCAATTTTTTAAAAAATGTATTGAATTAGTATAATACCATTCCTGATTTTCAGGCCTGCTGTGTTGAACAGATATAGATGAAGCAAGATTTGGGGAGTATTTTAGGAGCGTATAAGGCGATATGTAGCTATAGGGTAGTATATTTTCCCAGCAATCTGTGCATCGGCATGTTCTACATCTCAGATGCTAGAAGGATGATAGTCAGGCCTATCTTACCAGTATTTAGACAGATTCTCTTTCTTCCCCTGGGAATCCAATTTTGCATCTTATAACTTTATCAGAAAACTGGTTATCAGCTAGTTTTCAAGATCAAGGAGGCACTGTACCTTAGTAGAAAGTATAGTGAACCAGGGAGTGCTTGTCTAGTACTTCTAGTTCTTTGCCTAAGTCCAGTAGCTGTCTAACTGTGGATCAAACATCTGATGAATCTCAGTTTTCCCATCTATAAAATAGTCATAAACCTATCTGTCCACTGTATTTCAAAAAAACAAAATAATAGCTGTAAGAGAGCTACAGGCAGGAGTGTACACAGAGAGCCTGCTGAGCTAGCTTTTGGACAGCTGTGCCCAGGAGACCTAAAGGTATCTGCAGGTCTCCGGGCAGGGTAGAGGAGGCTGTGTTTGTATCGTATTTGTTGCCCTGGGTGTGACTCTGAACTTGCCCAGGACTCCTACTGGCCCTGACCTAGTGTGTTTCCTCTCCATTGCAGGAAGATGAGAGACTGCTTAGGCTCCAGCAGTAGTACCATGAGTCCCTGTACTGGTTAAAGCCATCTCCACGACCCGGACAGGCAGCAAGGTAAGCAGAGAGGCCAGTCCAGGCGAGCTCCTGGGATGTGTGTGCATTTCCGCTCCGACCGCTGCCGGAAAATCCCAAGCAACACAAACAAGTCAAGGCAGTGCATCAGGGTTCCTCCTAACCCGTCTTCAGGACCCAGAGGAAGGGCTTGCTTCCCCTCCAAGAGCTCCAGCTAGCTCCCTCCCCGCCCGCCCGGCGGGGATTCTTCCAAGTTATAAAAAATGAGACACTGGTGGGGAGAAAAACAAGTCCGCTCACTGTCTTCTCCCTTCTCCCCTCCGAGCTGCTCAAGCAAGTTCCCAGGAACAGTCTAGAGCCCCTGGTTGACTGGAAGGGAGGTAAGAGGCGTGGAATGCGTGCAAAAACTGAGCTGATCAAAAGACAGTGCGATTTCATAGAAGTCTCCCAGAACTGAGTTAGAGAGAGAGAGAGAGAGAGAGAGAGAGAGAGAGAGAAAGAGAGAGCGCGCGCACTCTCTCGCTCCTGGTGCAGTGTGAGCCTGCGCCCTGCCCCTGCGCGCCGCGCCGCGCCGCCGGGAGGACGGGGTCTCCATGACAACTGGCCTGGCCGGCCCGCAGCGCTCTGCTCACTTGGCTGGAAGGAGCACCACGAAAGGTCAGAGGAAGGAGCTGTGGGAAGCTCGCGGCAGGTATCGGGGCTTAAGCCAGTAGATTTGGGGGCCCTGGGCTCTCTGACGGGCTGTGGAGTGAGCCAGACTCTGCCGAGAATGGAGTGGGCAGGAAAGCACCGGGACTTTCAGGTAAGGGCAGCTCCAGACTCGATTGCTCCTCTCCTTTCCTGGCCCTAGTTTTGCGCTGTTTTCTGGGCGGCAGTCGAGTGTCTGTACTCTCTGCTCAGGGTTTGGGGCTCCGGAATGATGTCATGTTCCAACAGTTGGATTCTATTAGCTCCAGGAGGAGGGAAACAGCCAATTTTCTTGACTTTGCAAATCAAGCCGATCTCACTCTTGCTGAACCTGAAGTGTTTAGGCTTCACTCTAGAAGGCATTATTTTACTTTTATTTAGTCCAGAATCACAGGATATTTTTACAGGAAGATTCATTTATGTGGGAAAAAAAAGTCCTTAGCATTGTTTGTAGTTCTCACACGGAAACTCCAGTGTCTTCAGAGGGGCTTAGTTTCTTCTGATTTGTCTTTTGGTGGTATGTCTGACCTATTAAAAAAAAATTAAGAAGCTCATTAAGCTCAGTGAGGAACTGTGGTGAGTTCCAAGTCCCTCTGGAATGGCTAGTGGGACCGAAGGACTGTCATAGGGATATCGGAGCTGGTAGCATGGTTCTCTCTACCTGGTAGCTTGGTAAGAGGCAAGCTGTCCTTCCTCATTAATAAGGTGGGTCATGGGCTTTCCTGAGTCATGTGGCATGGAGCTGTCTTGGGGTTGGCAGGCCTGCACGGAAGTGTCTTATTCAGATGTTGCAGAGTGAGCTCTTAGCACCTCAGCTGCCAGGAGCTGGGGAAAGAGAGGCACTGTACTTGTGCCAGTGGATTCCTTTGGTTAATATTTTAATCTAATCTCAGGCTTGCAGAATCTACTCTGTGTACTCCTTTTACTTTGATTGTCTTAAATTTTGATAAACCTTGTTCTCACTTAGAGGAGTAGTGTGTTAGAAGCTCATTGTGGCCCAGGAAGGAAGACCCTCCCAAAAAAGGGATGAGGTAATTCGATCATTGATATTATTAGGAGTGATATTATTAGGAGGATGAATCTGCAGACTGTCCCTGCAGGAGAGACCCGGCAGATGTGCTTCCCCTGCAGCCATGTTCTATCTTAAACTTACTCCTGGGTCTCAGGGAGTTTTGTAGATGCTTTTGGTTTTTCTTAGTGGGATGAAGGAACAGCTGCTGTCCTGGCTCTTGGGTTTTTCTTCTTGAACTTTCTGAACAGAATGTCTTTTGTATTCTGGCAAACAATGAGGGGGCCCTCTGATTAACTTCGGGTCAGCTTGCCAATGCAAGCACTGGCCATATCCTTGATTCTGGCTCCCCAGATGTGTATATGTATGCATCAGTGTTGTGGCCTGAGGGCCCGCAAGGGTGAACTGAGTGGCCCTGAACCTCAGACAGGCCACTTCTAAAGTTAATTCCTCCTTTTGATACATTCCAGGGAGCTTCTGTTTGGTTGAAACCTCTATTTATTGGAGGGATATGGCATAGTGCTGTTGTTTGGGATTAAAGAGGAAGAAGTCTCTGAGCTCAGTGGTCCCTTGGGGGCAATGCAAGTCCAAAATTTCAAGTCTTCTCTACTCATGGGGATGTGGTTAGGGATTCTCCATTCCCGTACTTGTGCCCGCCCCCTCCTTCCCCTTCTTCAGGGTCTCACTATGTAGTTCGGCTGGCCTTGAACTCATTATGTAGCCCAGGCTGGCCTTGACATCATGGAAATCCTCTTTCCTAAACTTCCTGAGTCCTGGGCTTATAGGTATGCACCACCACATCCGGTCATGTTTCTTCTGCAGTGGAAGAAAGAATAATGACTTGGGGTTAGAAGATGTGAATCCATCACTGGGTTCTGCTACTTTCCAATTGAGTACCTAACTAATATAGGCTTTAGGATATTAGCTGTATCATAGAGATAATGATAATAACTACTTCATGGTTGGGAGGAGCAAATGGGATAGTTTCTATGAAAGTATTTTCAAGTAGATCAAATCCTCAATAATATAACAGATTATGAATGGAAACTTAAGCAATGGTCTAGCTGTCTGCTAGAAAGTCACTTTGCTTCTGTGTTCTGGTTGCCCCATTTATAAAGTGCCATATACTCTTGTACACATATAAATCAAAGTGAGAAAAATCCCTAAATACCTGTTTGAGATGTTTAAGGAAAGAAATAGGGCTTTTTTTGGGTCAGAGAGTTTCATTGTAGACGAGTCTCACAAGTGAACCTTCAAGGATAAGACTTTCCATAGGTCGCTCAGCTCATGTATTATAGAGGAGAGGGGTTCCAAGAGATCCTTTGCTTTTCCAGTGTCCTTATAGTTACAGTGTCATGCATTTGACTGGCTGGAAAAGAAGCTGTTGGATGCCAGGGCTGCTTCCCTTGTCCTGCTAGGTTCTCCCAGGGAAACTGTCTTGAGTGGGCAGAGGGGTCGGTTTGAACGATAGGGTTCTAAGTGATAAAAAGTGTTCTTGCTCTGAAGGTCTTGTTAGGGCTGGGCAGCTCTTTCAGGAACTTGTAAGGCAAGCTGTAGCTTAGGGGGAGATTAAAAAGAAAAACAAGGAAGTGGGAATTCCAAGGGCAGATTCGGGGCTATGTCATGGGCCTGTGCCAAGGAAGGGAATAGCAGGGGCAGGGAAACTCCGGGCAAGGGCATCCCAGATCTGTCCTCTGAACCTGTAAGATATGTGGTGTTCTAGGGACACCTTCCTTCCCCTCAGCAGTCTCAGCCTTTGGGGCTGAGACAGGCAAAAACCTGGCAGCCGTACCCCAGACTAGTGTCTGAGAGAAGCCTCACACAGACCTCAAATAGGCAGGATTGTCTTTTTTGTTGTTTTATTCTGCTTTGTTTGAAAAAGCAGCAGTGTTCTCCTTCCAGGTGACTGAGAGAACAATAGCCTGGAAGGCCTGAAAAAGTTGTCCACAGCTTAGGTTGGGCTGCAGCTGTTCCCCACTCCCCATCAGTCTGCTTCCCAGAGCTGAGTCACAAATTGGATCCCTCTCTGTTCCTTAAGGATTAAAAAGTAACATTCTTGTTCTCACTCCCTCTCTCCCCCTTCCTCTGCTCTCCTCCCTGTACACTCTCCTCCTAGGTTCTTTCTCTCAAAAATCAGAATAATCAGTCATCCAAGGAGTTGAAACTTTGAAATGCCTTGGAGAATAGGCCAGGGGCATCCTCGGCTGTGCTGGCTGGGCCTCTACCCGTGAAATGAAGGGCTGGGTGAACCGTTTCGGGGAGGCACGCCAAACTCCAAGGATCGTGGCCTGGAACCTAAGAGGCTAAGTGCCACTTCCAACTGCATCGGATGCTAAAACCACTTAGGGGAGGTGGCCTGGTGCCTGAGGGAGGTGGGAGAGTCTGAGTTCCTGTGGAGGAGTGGGATTCTCTTGGCTATTAGCTGTCACTGCCCTGGTGACTCCAGATTTCTACTCTTGGGCCCAAAAGAGCGTACTGAGGCAGCCAGTAAGCAAAGGCAACGCATATCTGGGCCCGGAGGAGGGCAGGATCAGCCCTCCCTGCCCGGCTCTGGCTTGGCCTCTCCGCTGTGCCTCTTCTGCACTGGCTTGGGGGCTGAGGGTGGGGTAGGGGAATCTACAGGCAGATAATCGAGTTCTTTGAGTTAGAGGGACCATGGAAAGTGGAGAAGGGGCAGGAGGGCATGAAAGGGAAAAAAAAAAAAAAAAACAGAGACCATCTGGCAGGGTTGGCAGAGATTTCTCTTTTAAAGCCGATGGGAAAATTTGCGTTAGTGTGTGCGTTCTTCTGGGAGTAGAAAGGGAGTCTGTGCATCCCTGATGCTGGAGGGGAGGCACTGTGAGCCTCCGTCTCAGGGGTGGGTGGAGGAGAAGTCTGCGGGAATCCGCCTTGGGGAAATGTGCTATGTAATACTGTGTCGATAGAAAAACCTGGGACATGCGGTCTCCTTCTAGCCACATGCCTTAGAAAACTCCTAGAGATGTATGTGTGTGTGTGTGTGTCTGTCTGCCTGTTTGCATGTGTGTCTATGCGTGTGTATTTTGAGGGGAGAGGAAGGTGTTAAATGAGTCCAGACTACACACCTCATTGAAGAATTTCTCCAAAGATCCCTTCTCTCGTTTTCCTTGGTTCCAGTGTAAGGAATACACTGTTGTCTGGGGCTGCTGAAACTGTCATGATGTTCTTCTCATCTAAAATTGCCTGACTGTTTGATTTCACTGTCCCTATAAAAGGGTGAACTATATGTATTCAGGGTATAGAACTGCCTTATTTTGTAAGCATTTGTCATGAAACCACCCAGTTTTTCAAAGACCCAGACTCTTCTGTGTGCCCTGTGGTTGCCGAAGGGGATTGTATGTGAGTTTTTCAAAGACCCAGACTCTTCTGTGTGCCCTGTGGTTGCCGAAGGGGATTGTATGTGAGCCCGAGGCTGACTTAGAGGAAGCCGCATGGTGGGTGGAGGACTGTTGGAACCTGAAAACAGTGAGCTATACCAAGGGTCGAGGGGACAAGATCTGGTACAGGCAGAAGATTACTAGAAGAAAACAGGAGAAAGGACCCAGGCAAGGGGGTGGGGGAGGGGAGGAGAAAGTAGTTCTCAGGGGCAGCAGGTGGAGGGAGGAAGGTGGCCTTCACAGCATAGAGGCCGCCCTGTCCCCAGGGGCCCAAGCAGACAGTGCTGTTCCCTCTTAACAAACACTGGGAAGCTGCGTGGCTCACATCGAGGTTGACACCCTCGTTCATTTGTTGTCTGGCTCAGAGGCTTCTGTGGTGCCACATGTGCCCTCTTGGTCTGTTTATCCATGAAGTCAGTGAATGCAGAGCATCTGGGCCAAGAGCTGGGGAGGATCCAAAACAAATGTCAAGTGAGACACATATTCCCATATATGCTGTATTAG